TCGAACAATAATGACCCGACGGTGATATACGAAGACAATGCAGCATGTGTCGGTCAAACCAAAGAAGGATACATTAAGAGTGACGGAACTAAACATATCCCGCCAAGGTTCTTCTCATATGCGCAAGAGCTTGAAAGAAACAAACAAATCAAAGTTCAATACATTCGATCAAGCGATAATGCAGCAGATTTGTTTACGAAGGCACTTCCGACGACAATGTTTCGAAAGCACGTACACAATATTGGAATGAGACATCTTCGGGATTTGCACAGATGATAACTCAAGGGGGAGTATGTGCGGCTGTACTCTTTTTTCCTTATCTCGGTTTTTTTCCCACAGAGTTTTTCCAGATAAGATTTTTAACGAGGCAGCATAAAACGCACATTTAATAGTGGTAATTCCAAGGAGGAGTGTTATGATAAGTGGAATCTACCACTAATAAATATCTTATCATTTGAATTATTGTAATAAGATATATTGAAGTTTGTGTCATTACATTATTGAAGGCCCTCGCCAAAGGAAGTGTAATTTTTGCACGGAAGAGGGGAAAGAAAGAAAGCTTATTACAATTATATCCAGTTTTTACATTGTGTTCTTTATATTCCTCTCATTTCATAACACATCCTAATATTTTCAAAATTTTGGTGTTTTGTTTGGATGTGAGAGTGATAATGTTTTATCCTTTTTTTTTTTTGGAAACATCTTTGATATTTCAATTTATTTTATTTTTTTGCCTTTTTTTAACAACTTTAACAAAATTGGCGGATTTGGTAACAACTTTAACAATTATTAAGCTAATTAATCAAATCTAATTTATTAACTCCTAATTAAGTAAGAAGATAATTAAATATTAAAGAAAATAAAATTAAAAAGGAAAATAAAAAAGAAGAGATAATTATGTTGAATTGAATAGAATCGGTCTATCTCTTCAATAAGACTTTTTAAGACTTTTCAAAATTTTGGTGAATTCAACTGAAATTTTTTTAGACTTCTAAAAAGTCTGCATGTATTCAATTAGACTATTAAAGACTTTTTATAAATCTCTAAAAGTCTCGATATATACAATTGAAAGTTTCTAAAGAGTGACAATAAGTCACTCGGTATTCAAAGTAGAAAGACTTTATAATATTTTTTAAATTGTGAAACTTTTGGAGACTTTTTTTTATTAAAATTACAAAGACGAAGTCTCAACATAAATCTCATCAAATTGGTGAGATTTTGTTATAAAAGTCCGAAATGTCCACAAAAGTAATAAAAATTTCACAAAATCCAGCAAAGTCACTCACTTAAAAAGTCTTAAAAAGTTAATAAAAGCCTTAATTGAGTACACCCAGATAAGAATTCCTGCATATTCCTAAAACAAGATATATTCAAAAAACCAACAAGAACCTACGGTATACTATTTAGAAGAAAAAAAAAATCCTTTATATTAGGAATAACTCATGCCCAACTTTTTATATAAAAATAGAAAACTTTTAATAACAGAAAAAAATGAATTCACATTCTTATTTTGATATCGAAATTAATTGAATCTTTTTAAAAAATTACCAATTTTTGGGCCATAACTTCATTTCTTAGTACTTATTCATCTATCTTTTTTTGCTCTATATAAACATCTATCTTTATATCTATACTAATATAAAAAAGTTGCTGGTAAAATTATTTTTAGTAACTTTGATGAAAACATAAATAGTCTGACTTACTATTAGTGGAAATTTCAAATAAAACACATGTGAATCTTTAGTAACAAAATCTAATCTTATTTTTTTTCATAACAATTTTGGAGATTCTTATGCCAAAATATGAATCCTATTTTTTTTTTTTTTACCAAAATCTGAGTCCCACCAAATTTAGAGATTCTTATGCCAAAAATATGTTACTTATTTATGAAAACAAATCCAAATACAAATTAATTTATAAAAACTGTGCAAATTGGATACAAATTTAGGAAATAAATAGTTGTATATTTTTTAAAAATCTTCCAATCTTTTTTTAACGATTTTTTTCTTTCAAAAAATGTGTGCAAATCGGATAAAACCACGTGCAATTTTTATTTTAAGACGAAATTAAGATTTGGATGGAATATACATTCAAAATCGTATCCACATTTTTTGGTAACGAAATCGATTCACCTTTGATATTTAAAGTCAAACCTTATACAATTATTTAGGGAAACAATTCAAATCAATTTCAATACTGTGTGCAACTTTTCAAAATTTGAATGCAACGACTTTTTTGGATACTAATGTTTTTTTTCTTAATCATATTAAGTTCGTATCAGTTTTATGAAGTTATCAATGTTCTTAGGATAGAAACAGTTGCATAAATCTTAAAAAAATATTCTGATTTTCTATTAGAATTACTTTTAATTCAATTTTATTTGGTAAGAAAATCGGTGTAATGATAGAAACACTCGATTACATTCTTAAGAAAAATTGATGATTAATTTTACTTTGTTTTAATCGAATATTCGGATCAATAAATTGTTTGGTAAAAAATAGCTGTATTGGTATAAAATTCAGTTTCATTTTTAGGAAAAACTAATAATACTTTTTAATTTTTCTTAATCAAAGTTTTGAATTAGATTAAAAAATGGTGTGAAAATTCCTATAAATCTCAATTTTTTCCTACTAATTTTTTTTAATAAATAAGATCCATAAATTTTAAAGAAAATGTAATTTGTTAACTAATAACTAATAAAACAAATTTTAGATAAAATTCGAACACCCATGTAATATTTTACGTGCCATAAAATCAAAACACAAATATTGTACATAAGAAAGTATTCAATAATATATAATTTTTATTTTATAATATTTTTAATGTCGTGAGACAATTTAAATGCAAATCATTTAAAAAGAAAATAGATAATAAATTCCCCCGCACCGTACTAGTCTATATATATAAAAAGAATTACCATTTTTAAAAAATAGTAGGTCAACCCTGGTCAAATTTCTGTTAGCATTAATTACCTACCATTTTTAGTAATTTTTATATTCAAACAAAAATTGGCAGCATTAAATACTACTCTAAAATTATGACATTTGTTATCTTTGTCCTCAAAAAATCGTGGCGTGATCTATGGTAAGTAGTCAAAATGTGTAACAGAATAGATCATGCATACTTTCAAATTTACGACATATGAATCGAGATTTCCATCAACCACAAGTTCAACCTTTTATATGTGAAGTAATAGTGCTACAACACCTGTATAAATACACAAATGTTGATTAAAATTTTATACTTAAAACAAAAATGTAAGTTCTTATGAAATATTCTAAATACTTTTTTTAAAAAATAGTTATTATTTTATTTAAGGACCATTATGGTAAGATTTTCTATTCCTTTGTCATAATAATTTTTATAATATATATAAGTTTATATTTATTTAAAATGGAAACTAAAATCCCGCCTAAAAAATTTAAAATTACTAAATTTTGATAATCTTTTTTGAAAATTTTCAAAAAATCCCACTAATAGAGCTTTAATTTCGAGTTTAAAACATATCTGGGTTTTATTTAAGGGTATTTATTATGAAAATTAATAAATCCGATCTTGATATAAAGTAAGCGATTTTATTTGAGGTATCTGGTGGCCATTTTTTTTTTTTTTTTTTATATGAAAGGTGTTGATATTAATAATTGTTTGAATTTATGCTATAAAGTGGGCGATTTATTTTTGTATGAAATTTCTGAATTTAAATGGTATGGAAATTGTATGGATAACAGTGTATTTGAAAATTTTAAAAATAAAATAAGTGGTATAAATTTTATTTGTATGAGTATGAAAGTCGAATTTTAAGTTGATTTGTTATATGATCAAGGTAATATGATTTTCAAATTTTAGCATATTTCCATAATAACTTTCTATAAAATATTGATGATAATTTGGCAAATTGGTATGTATTTCTCATGAAAAACAAAAAAGATTTTTGAACAATTATTGGTTAATAAAATTTAAAATTTGTAATTTAATACTAGAAAATTATTTGATAAATTTCAACGATAATACGGACAACAAATCTAGAAAATTGCAAGATAAAATACACACGCGCACACACACACACACACACACACACACACACACACACATATATATATATATACAGAATGACAGTGGTATTTGAAGAGTCTGCCTGAGTAATTATTCATAGCTTATGAACCAATATTAACTTGGACGTAAATAAAATAGTCAATTATTTATAGTTTAATAAATTACTCAACTACTTATTTTTTATTTGGATAACTTACACAAAATTAAATTCATTTTAAATAATGAAACAATATAGGTTTTATAATTATACTTATTATTCACATAGAATTTTAACTATATGATAAAATTTACACAAATAACTATTTTATAGAATCACATTTGTAGGCAAATCGAATTTCTCGACAAAATTTTAAAATGATACTTATTTTGAATAAATACAATGTAATTATTATCAGTTATGTGCATCGTACGAGTTGAGTATTAATTTTAAATAGACATGTTTTATTTAATTGTGAGCAATTTAAATTTCATATAATATTTTCAAAATATATATATATATATAAATTGTATTAAATATTGATTCCACATTTTTAATTTATGAATATTATTTAAAGACAGTTTTAATTTATAAATATTAATAAATATCTCTTATCCGTGCATCGCACGAGATTCGTATTAGTTGTCCATAAAAAGAAGACCTAAAAATTCCTTTGAGAATTCCTCATTATACGGACCAACCCACAACTCGTCATTTCTCCCCCTTTTATTTCACACGTTGAAATTCTCTTTTACAGATAGGCCTTTCCTCTCTCCCTCTGGAAAGAAGGAAAAAAGAGGGAAGAAAAATTTTCTCTCACGCTTCTCTCTACGAATCAATTCAATCTCATTCTTCTGTTATCCATTAATCGACAATCAATCAGATTGAATTCAATTCATTCTTGTTTTGATTTCTCGGATCCTCTTGTTTTTTTTTTGACATCTCTTGTGGTGTTTGATCCGAGGTAATCATGTCGTACGCTTACCTCTTCAAGTACATTATCATCGGTGACACAGGTACAATATTGATCAATTTATTTGTTTGTTTGTTTTCGTTTCGTGGTTGTTCTTGGCTGCTATGTATTTCCTTTTGGATGTACTGATGTTGTGGGCTTTGAATTTGATTGTTTTCTGAGAAAGGGGGCTTCATTGTGTTGTGAGATTTGCTGTATGATTACTTGCGGCTTGATCGTTTGGACTGATAATTTTATGGTGGGGTTATTTTTAATGTGCATAAGAGATCATAGGACCTTCATAGACATGAAATGCAAGCTAGGTTATATATCATGTTGATGCGAATCAGGGGCTGTTGTTAGCAGTTGGGTTGCACCTTACCCGTTTTAATTGAAGGCTTAATCGAAGCTCTATCACTTCGTGCAAGGATAAAGAATAATGATAAATCAACCAAAGAGATAGACACGATTAATCTTGTACTTAGAGATTGTCTGATGCAGCCACGATCTTTTAGTTTATGTAAGCTATAAATGTATTGTCTCTTGTGAGGTATGCTAGAGGTAGATACGGTTACTCTTGTAATTTAAGATTTTCGGATGCAGCCATATTCGTTTAGTTTCTGTAAGTTATAAATGGATTGTCTTTGGGAGATATGAAGAAATTAGACACAATTGATCTTGCTTTAGCGAAATATTAGATGGTTAAGGTAAATGTAAAACTCACGAGTTCTGAAATAACTTCAGGTGTTGGGAAGTCATGTCTGCTTCTGCAGTTCACTGACAAACGCTTTCAGCCAGTGCATGACTTGACCATTGGTGTTGAGTTTGGAGCCAGGATGATTACAATCGACAATAGACCGATAAAGCTCCAAATTTGGGACACGGTTTCTCTTCCAACCTTGCTCTTTTTACCTTCTTTGCCATGTTTTCATTATGGTGTTCTTTTCTTTGTTTTTTTTCCCCACACAATCCTTTTATGTACCTTGTGTTTTCAAATAGCTAAATTTATATCTTAAAGTTGGTCTAGTGTCCAAGACCCATAGTAGTGTCTTGGTATTTTACTATTTTCTTGATTATTTTGTTCTCATTTCTCTAAATCAATTTTCTCCTATGCGATCTCTTATTCTAAAAATACTTGTTTACAAATTGACATCTGACTCCTTTTCTTATCATTTCAGGCTGGGCAAGAGTCATTCAGGTCCATTACAAGGTCTTACTACAGAGGTGCTGCTGGGGCCTTGCTGGTGTATGACATCACAAGGTAGTATTAATTCTGTTTGCATACAATAGGAGACTTTCTGTGATGCTTTTAATTTTAAATTTTGCTAGTGATCCTGGAGTATGTGTGGGTGGTCAATTCTTCGTCACAGTGAAAATTCTCTGAATGTCTGTGTATGCGTGCTGGTTAACCAAGTTGTTATATTTACCTATCTTTTAAAATTACAAATACTGCCTTAATATTATTTCTATTCCACAAATCTCACGCTTTATAAGGGACATCCATGAAGAAAGTGCAAACCTCAGGAAGAATTTTTGTGTTTCCATTTATCCATATTAAAGTTCTCAGTTTTGCTAATCAAATCAAACTGTGGTGTGTGGGCCTGTGTCTTATATATATCTTCTTGACGACTTATGTCCTTTTATTTTTCTACAATGTTAAGCTGATGGATTGGATAATCTGAATTTTGAACTTGTCAGGAGGGAAACCTTTAACCACCTTGCTAGTTGGTTGGAGGATGCTAGGCAGCATGCAAATGCAAACATGACCATAATGCTGATAGGTAATAAGAGTGATCTGGCTCACAGAAGAGCTGTAAGCACCGAGGAGGGAGAACAATTTGCAAAGGAGAATGGGTTGATATTCATGGAGGCATCAGCCAAAACAGCTCAGAACGTGGAGGAGGTATGAAATCCTCTCATTGATTGTCAATCAATCTCCTGCATATAGTTATCTCGACTAGGTAGCCATTTTGTTTAGGAATTATATCATTTTTTTTCGTGTTTTATGAACTTTCCTTCTCTCAGGCGTTCATAAATACTGCCTCAACAATTTACAAGAAGATTCAGGATGGAGCTTTCGATGTGTCTAACGAGGTATTTTCTTGATTTATGCTTAATCTTTTGAACTGTTTTCTCATATGTTCTGTTTGGTGAAACATTTTTTTAGTAGAAGTGCCTCTCTAATGTTTGACATGAGAGGGATGTGAAATTATATGGTGGGGGAACCCCCCGTGTGTTTTTCAAGTTAGATTATCATATGAGTGGCATGTGAATTAGTTACATTTGGTAATAGTATGTTACAGTTTGACGGGTACACCATTGTAGGCACAACTTATTTCGTTTCGGATCAGTGCTAGTTAATAACCATGCATGCTTGAAGCGCATGGTAAAAAAGGAAACATGTTGTACTTTTGTGCACAGTTAAATATACTTTTTTTTTTTTCTGCAGTCATATGGAATCAAAGTTGGATATGGGGGTATACAGGGAAATTCATCAGGAAGAGATGGTGCTGTCTCACAAGGAGGAGCTTGTTGTAGCTGAAAGTCGGAAAATTGATTCGTTAGATGCGTGTCTTTAAGTGGTCTTGATAGTATTCTCCTTGCAAGGTGGCTGTTCTTTTGTTTTCAATTCTTTTGTTTATCATTATTGGAACTCTGTTCTTTGACATACCCAACTATGAAATATGCTAAAAAAGTACATATTATCGACATTGAGGGACTTTTTATTACATTCTCAATGTAAGCTCATCGCGCTTGTTTGTTCGTAACTCATAGATTGAATCCAGTTTTGGGAAGCGAAATACTTGTATGGGATTGTGTTTATGGATCTTATTTTGTAAGAAAAAACCGGTTTGGTTCAGTTCAGTTCTTTATGAATCTACCTGGCAATGTTTTTAAATTGGAACAGGAATTTAAATATGCTAACAATGAATTTATTTTAAAAAAATTTATTCTTTGCTCTTACTTTTCTTTTTTTTTTTTTTCCTATTCTTGCATTATCACTTTTTTCAATATAACTTTTAAATCAAAAACTAATTATTATTATTACACATTTCTTTGTATTGGGATGAGTGATTCTTATTTTACCCGTCGGGCTGGGCTGAGCTCGGGTTTTTCGACGAATCACAGTTATAATTTTATTTTTTTTTATCTTTTTAAACTGATGATTCAATGAAC